ATATCCTTGTTTAATTTCCTTTATTCGTTGTAGCAATTCACGGTCGGTGTATACCACATTCTTTACGGATACACCCATGCTACCACCGGACACAGCGGGTTTGATGATCAGCGGTGCACCTAGCTTTTTGCATAAGCCTTTAACTGAATCTTCGCTTCCATCGATGATTTCCCATTTGGCATTTGGGACGCCGGCAGCATCGAATGCCCGTTTCATGGGTATCTTGGAAGTAGTGATATCGTAGTAGTGTGCGTCAGATCCGGTATAGATTAGTTTGTTCTTCTCGAGTTCGTGAATGATAGAAACGCCGGGTGTTCCATTCACTTCATCGCCATCGCACAAGTTCAAAACGAGAGGAATCTTTCGACCTGACTTTCTTTTGAGGGAACCGATTACTTCTTTATAGTTAAGCATGGTAACGGGTTGCCAGGTCCAGTCGGCATCCAGTTCTTTAAATACAGCGGTGTATTCCTGCAGGCTTTGATTAAAATCGTAATAGTGTTGGAGGTTGGGATCGGAAGTTTCAAGATAAGGATACAATACCCAGATCTTTAATTTCCGGAGGGGGTCGGTGGAGACACGAGAGGCACGAGCGTTTTTCTTCTTAAGCTCTTTTTTCCTTGTTTGAACGATCATGCAATTGCTGTTGAATGAACCGGGTAAGCTTATAAGTGCTGATTATTTCCCGGGGGATATGGGCTGCGCCCTGTATAATACCAAGACATTTGTCGGTTCCGCAATAACAGGTGAATGGTTGCGCCATATCCCATTCGGTAGATGGATAGAAAAAGGTCATTTCTGTTCCTTCTTCGATTGGCTTAAGCGCCACTACCTGCATTGTATAGGTATCAAAGAAAACATTGGGATCACAACTGTGATTGATGTACTGGAGATGCTCAGGCTGGAGCATGATATGCTTATCGATACCTACCTGTACTGTCAGGTACGTCGGTTCCGATAATACTTCCCCCGCAGAGAAGTCTGCTATTACGTCGCCCGGCTGGTACGATCGTTGGGCGATAAAAGCTTTCTGGTTATTTACTAGATTTTGCCTGACTACGGCAAACTGATGATCGCTGACAATGCGATATTCGGGGGTAGTAAGTGTAATCATGATCTATTCGTTATGAAAAGATATATATAAACTTCAATGTAAAAAATCTAGTTTCCATAAATGTGAATAATTAGTACTTAGAGCTTAATAACATTGACACATTTCATTGGCAACAGTCGTGGTACTACAATAGTCACCGATCATAAAAACTGTATCCAAATCATGAATCATGTACTTATTCTTTCATTACTAATGCCTGTTCGTCTTTGCTTACTGACCATTCCGGCAACGCTACCTTAACTATTCAGGTA